AATCCAAAACACTTCTGTTCCTGAAACATTTCAAAGAAGGGAGACTCAACCTGTTTGACCTGGGTATGAAAATGTCATTTCTGATTGAATAAAGCTTAAGAGATCACTTGAAAAAGGACCCTGTTGTTCTCTCTATTGAAACTGTGTCTCATTTATGAGTTACTAAACATTGCACAAGTTATTAATTACATTGGTGGTTTGTTGTTGTTTGTTGTTAACTGTCCTTGATTTGATCTCGACTCATGGTGATCCTATGGATGAGACATCTCCAAGACTCTCTGTCCTCTACTGCTCGGCTTAAGTCCTGCAACCCCTTAATACCTGTGACCCCTTAATGGAGTCCATGGATGAACATCTTTTGGGTTTTGTCAGTCAGCCAATTACAAATCCACCTAATAGTAGCACTGTCTAGGCCATATTTTACTAGCTTCTTTGCATGAGTATCATGGGGAACTTTGTCAAAAGCCTTACTGAAATCAAGATATGCTACATCCACAGCATTCCCTTCATCTATCAAGCCTGTAACTTTATCAAAAAAAAAAAAAAAAAAGAGAGAATGAGAGAGAGAAAAAGAGAGAGATCAGATTAGTCTGGCATGACTTGTTTTTGAGAAACCTGTGTTAGTGATGACAGCATTGTTTTCTAAGTAATTATAAACTGTCTGTTGAATGATCTGCTCTAGAATCTTTCTGGGTATTGATGTCAGGCTCACTGGGCAAAAATTATTTAGGTCCTCTTTTTTCCCCTTTTTGAAGATGGGGATATTAACCAAGACTGTCTTTGCTAAACTCTGACAGTTGGAATGTATGCAGGACTTCCTTTTGTGTGGCTGTCTGAAATGAAAAAACAATCATGGGACTGACCTCTCACACCATCCATCCTCAAATCTTTACAAAGGGACTGATAATGGAAATAAATTATGAACTAAGGGTAGCTAGCTAGCTGTGATTAGGGCATTTCCTTCTAACTACATGAATTCTTATTTTCTGTACATTCAAATGTTACCCAGGGAAATAATTTTTTGTGTTTCTTCCATTTATATTTGCTTTGAACATCCTCTCAATACATTATTCTTTTCTTTGAATGGAATATTATTTTTAATGCTGTGATGTGTCCTGAAGTAGATTGTGCGGTACATGTTTCAAGGCTGCAAATCAGATTTTACAACAGAGCTCAAAAGCTGGGCTCCCTCCCCCCATCCAGGGGAAAAACAGGATACATAAGAGTTTATCATATGGGAGTGATCTCATGCAAAACGGGGTTTTAAATTGAAAAAAATACAGAATAGCTGGTTGATTTTCATGCAACATCGTTGTTAATGTGTTGTTAACCCAAACAGAAAGTTGACAAACACCGCAAAAGCGGGTAGTTTTCGCACTATGTCAGGGTTAATGAGCATTAACTCAGTAGTAACCCAAATGGAAAGTAGACAAAACCTGCTCCTTTTTACTTTCGGAAAATCCCGAAAGTAAAAAGGAGCTGGTTTTGTCTACTCTCTGTTCGAGTCAATTTCACATTAATCCTGATGTGTGTGAAAATCAACCTGCTTTTGCAGGTTTTTTCTGGCTTTTAAATCCTGTTTCTGCATGGGATTTTTGCACTTTCTCCCCTGTGTGACTAATGCCATAGACTGGGAACATATTATAGAAAAACCATCCTACATTCTTCTTTTGGGGGTCTGAGAATGAAATCTTACATTTCCGTGGTGGCAGTGACCATTCCAAGGGCAACAGGGATCTTGGGAAAATTTAAGCCCACTACCAAAAAAATTTATTATTATTATTATTATTATTATTATTATTATTATTATTATTATATGAATGCCTGACAAATACCTTTAATGCCAAACTTCCAGAGCCTGAACTTCCGGTTACGACGGAGAGGCAAACGGAGGCGCAAAGGCTTAGCTCCATGCCAAAGCCTTTTGTGTCACCCCTAACGCGGCGTTTCCAGAGCATTTTGTCTGGAATACCTAACCAGGGAGGTTAGGAGGGTTGGGGCTCGTTGGGGGTCCAGCCAGAACCTCGGAAGCAAGCGGCACCAG